TATATATTTATATCAGTACTTCCTTCAGTTAGGAAGCTTTTTGAAAGAAAAGTACTTGTATACGTATACAAGCTGAATTAAAACCTAGAGTTATAAATATCTAGATTGTATCTAGTGTTTAATCAATTGGATGTTTACAAATAATAGGTAAATGATTTGTTGTCATAGAGTTGATCTCTGCATTGCATGCAGTGAGAATATTTTTAGCACTTATGCAATTGATTGTAAACTTTGGGGTGATATAATTTAAATGGATCTAAACAGTCCATTAGCTACGTCAGTGCCTTATCTCTTGCCAAGCTGTAGTTTTATGCTAAGCTGTTGTGTACTGTGTTACATAATCCCCTGCATTCATTTTCTCCACCTATTTAGCTTGAATACATACAAGGTGACTGCATTGTCTCTTCAACATCCTTCTCAGTGTAAACACCATGGATAGAAAACGGATTTGAGGCACTATTACCTTTTTCTAACAGGCTTCTGAGAATTGAATGGGCTTAGAAATGTGTTTGTCACTATCTGGTTTTCTCCTTTTGGTTATGTTGACTGTCAACCCAGTATGGTTTTCAAGGTGATAAGAAGGTCCTTGAGCTTTAGCTCCTGGAAGGAAATTAAGATGGTTTGGGGTCTTAGGAGAAAAATATTGTCAGCTGTGAGAGTACACGCAAAAATGATTTCTGCAAGGTTCTTCTTTCTCCTTCTTAGCCCTTTATTTGCTCTTGGCCAGACTGGGCCATGTATTGCCAGGCCTCTCCTTCCTGCAACAGTCACAGGAAGGTATTTTATGAATTAAAAATGAAATAAGCTTGCTTATCTAAAATAGGTTTCCAAGAGGACCTTTCAGTTGTCTATTGTTAGTTAATGGACAAGCAATGGGAGAAGATATCTTGGCAGTTGGGGTGATGCTGTGCTTGGTTACCTCCTCTGGCTGAGGGAAGAGGTAAACTGAGGAAATACATCATTGAATGTAGACTGGGAGGGCTGTAAACTGTTGTTGCAGCTTTTGTCAGATACTTGCAAAGGAAGGCACTTGACTCTATAAAATTTTCTTGGTATATTTGCCTGGTGATTAGCATAAATATGCATGTGATTTGCCTAGGCATTTTCTTTTTCACATTGGTATTATACCTTATTTATTTATTGTGATATTCTCCTTTCTATTCCAATGTAAAATTTCCCCTATGGCCTTCCACGTAAAATATTCTTTTATTTTAAATATACCCAGATTCCACAGGGGAAAGGGAAACGTTTCTTTGGGTGAGCATGTATAATTTACATACAGGAAGAGAGGTCTGTCTCTGGATCCATGTATCCAAGCTTTAGGATAGTTTGTAAGTTCATGGATCTGTGGAATCATTCACAGCCTTGGAGATGCAGTGGGATATGTGGAATATACCAAGTGGCCAAAGAGAAAGATAACCAGTATTTAGAGCAAAGTTTGAAGGTACTTTAAGTCCAGATTACTGCCAACTAACTGTGTTGTTTTGGGCAACTCACTTGTTCCTTGTCATCAGTTTCTTCCTTAATAAAATAAAGGCATTAAATTAAGCAATGCCTAAAAGTCCCTTGTAGCTCTAAGATTTATTATTTTAACAGACCCTTCCTCTAATTACATGAAAAACATTAATTAACGCATAGCACATTAAGTAATATTCTGGTACCTTGCTCCTCTGTGTCAAGGCCTCCTCCTTTGAGAGGTACTCATTGATGAATGTATGCTTCTCCTTAAAGGTGCTGCTTTCCTTGTTTATTTATCTCAGTTCAGTGAGCATGCAAGGTGTAACTCAGATCCTATAGAAGATGCCCATTTGTATACCACATGCAGTACCAAGGTCACACACAGTAGTTGTCTCTGTGCATGTCCATGTCTGTAGGAAAAGAGCTTTGCTGTGATAAATGCATTTGATTTGTCATCTTCGGCTTTAGACCTGAGTCACCTCCAGGTCTGTTGTCCAGTTGTGTTTTAACAAAGCCATTTCTTCATAAATGAGAGGAGACATCATGACAATAGACAGTGCACTCGAGGACTGGATAGATATAATTCAAACTCGCAGACAGCGTTGAATTTTTGCGGGTTTATTTTTGATAAAATGCATCCGACGTGAGCTTTGTTCTGAGTTGTCCTTTGCCCTCATGTATGTATAAGCTGTAGTGCCATCATTTATAGGGGGATTGATCCCTTTGCTTACCCCAGTGTGTTTATAAACAGAAATGTGCAGGTAGAAGCGTTCCACTGAAACCTTCTGAAACATGTGGAAGAAACTTGAAATTTCTTCTTTAGCTCTCTGGGGTATGAAACTGAGGTTCATGTTTTAATGGTATCTTAATGCTAGAATTAATTGAACAATATGTAGTAAGTAGTTATATCTTTCCATAAAAAGAGTGACTCCTCAGTAATTCTTACTTTGTGATGAAAAAAAATACATTTGACTTTACTTAAGTAATGTATGTAGGGCTGTGATGGTTGATAGGGATCTCACTTTAGGTGAACTCAGTGTTTTTATTAAAAAGACTGGAATGTAAGTCTGGCAAGGAAAATAGAGGTCTTTCAGTTTTACTTTTCAGCCCCCGGTCTTCAGAGGGAAAGTACATATCTATATTTGCAATGTTGCTAATTTTCTTTCATTAATGAAATGCTTTTCAATACCTTTTGACCAACCCTGATAAAAAGTAGGATACTCTGAAGTATTCTGACAAGAAGATAGTTGGAAGTGCACATGCTGTGTGTCAAAATTATAAATCAGATCCACAAAGGATTAACTATATCCTATTATCTTACTTTGACAAATAGACCTGTAAAACTACCTGCAAGGACAGGTTCAAGAATTTTTTGATACCTTGGAGTTTTACACTTGGAAAGAGTAGTCCAGAGAGAACCAGCCACCTTCTGGTCCTTAGCCTGTGGCTTGTCCCCCTTCTCTTCCCAACTTTGGCTCTTTCCTATATCACAAGGAGTCTAGTATAAATGCATGTGAATTTTCCAGCCCACAAGACCAAACATAGTCTCCATGGTTCTCCTCATATCTTAAAGAATGGAAACTGACACCATGGTTTGTCTTCAGAAAGATTCATCATGAGGAAAGACCTATGCAAACAGTATGGAGCTCTTTGTGTGTGGAATTATATCATCACAGTGTTTGGAATATGTTTATGAGAGAGATTATGGGCTCTATATTATGCCACCTTGGCTCTGGGAACTCTGTTTTGGGGGCAGGGCAGGGCCCTGGGGAGGTCCAACCAGAGCCATGTAAAAAGAGACCCATTACTCCAGAGCAGAAGAGCCTTTGCCTTGAGTCTAAGGGTGGTATAGCTGTCATGTCAAAGCTTATCACCAGATTTCATTTTTATTTCCCTTGCCTGCTTGATCACTTTCTCAGGTCCAACCTCTTACTTACTAACTCAGCCACATTTCCCTGGGCCTAGGACTATATCATGGAAACCAAAGTTAGCTGGGTTATTGATGAATAAAAATCAGAGCCAAATTTTTCAGGGTAATTGATTTTTAGTTATTGGTCAATAAAAGGTACCTAGAGCTAAAGAGTCTTTTTATCACAACAGTTAATTAATCATTCTAAACCATTTCTTCAACAAGCATTTAAAGCTATCAGTGAAGCAAAAGCAATGTAAGCCTCACATGGCCTTTTGTATGACACGTCTTTCTAGGATTTTCTCTGAGTGGACTTGAAGGGAAGGAAGCAGCAAGCTTGTTTGCACCATCTAGTTTGTCTTCTCCAGTGTGGACACGTGGTTTCTCCATAGTCCCCTCCTCTGATGCTTTCCCTGGTATTAGATAGAAGCTGGAGGAAGTGTGTAGTTGGTACCAGCACAAGGACAGGGGCAGTGCCCTCGGGAATTCTCTTTGTTGTTTGCATAAATCTGACCCTTGCCAGTCAAATTTTGACTGTTTTCCTCTTTTATCCCCTTCAGCTCGAGAGGACAATGTGGCAACCTTCCGTGGCTCGGAGTACCTGTGCTATGACCTGTCTCAGAACCCGATCCAGAGCAGCAGTGATGAAATCACCCTGTCCTTCAAGACCTGGCAGCGCAATGGGCTCATCCTGCACACGGGCAAGTCGGCTGACTATGTCAACCTGGCTCTGAAGGATGGTGCGGTCTCCTTGGTCATTAACCTGGGGTCCGGGGCCTTTGAGGCCATTGTGGAGCCAGTGAATGGAAAGTTCAATGACAACGCCTGGCATGATGTCAAAGTGACACGCAACCTCCGGCAGGTAATGGCTGAGGGGAGAGAGAGCCTAGGAGGCTCGTGCTAGGTAGAAAGTGTGTGAAGCAGGTGACCTGTGAGGTGGAGAGGGGGGCCAATGTGGGTTCTGCTATGTCGAAGTCTGATTTTCTCCCAGCTTTTGCAGTTTCACAAGGAAAATCATGAAACGATGTTTCTACACATACTTCAGTTCTCCATTTATATTTGTTTTTAAGAAAAATAATCAGCTATATAGATAATAACCATGATAAGTATTTTCATCCCTTTTATTCTGCTTTCCTTTTATCATTTTCTTAATTACATTTGAATCTTATAGTATTGCTGTTAAATTCAATTAGGGACCACATTTTGTTTCTGCAACTTGATGGATTTTTCTCATTCTTTGAATATATGTTTTTCTTTTTAATTAAGTTAGCCATTGCCATGATGTCATAATTTTCCCTCAAGAAAAAGAAAATGTCCTTTTTTTTTTTTTTTGCCTCCTTTTAATTTACCATCCCTCCCCAACTTTTTTCCTACTACTGTTATGTTAACCTCTAGCCTTTAATCAGCTGGGATCTTTCTGATCTCCTCTGTTTCTCTGTTCCTTGATGCGGTGGCCCCACCTTATTACCACCCTGTCTCTACCTCCAAGACTCTTCAGTTGACTGGGAGGCCTGGAAAATGAAAGGACTCAAATAAAAATGTCATCTTTGGAGCAGCTTTCCTGAGTCTGTCCGTGTTTGAGAACTCCCATCGCTTGCCGATTCTAAGCAGGCAACTCCGTCAGGTGATAACATTTCTGGAAGCCCAAGCCAAGTCAGGTTGTTTGCAATTCCATAACTGCTACTGCTGCTGTCCCTTATCAGAACATATCAGCATACGAAAAGCATTTCCTGTAGAAGTCAAGGTCTGTGCTGACACTGCCATGTTGCTACTTTCATTTGGTTTTTCTTATGAATTTGTTATGAAACCCAGATGGATAGCATTCATTCTTTATCAATCGGAAAACACTATGCAAATTTCCAGGAAGTGCACATTGAATTTGCTCCTGTAGTAGGCTGATTTAATGCCTTCTCACGTAAATAGGTGTTTGTGTATATTTTCTGTTTGATAAACATGTGACTCCTTAGTAACGCTTAACAAATGGCATATCCTGGCGTACACTGGAAACACACCGTAGTCAAAATATTCATTTCCACACCTAAGTATGTCACAGGAGCCACCTGGCTGGGAGATTCCATTTTATCTGTGGTGAAGCTGACAGACAACACAAGACTTATAGTCTCCAAGCATCTGAACACGTGAATTTGACTTTTGGGGGTGGTCATTGTTTTATGTTTTCCCTCCAAGGCCAAGGAATCCTGTGGCTGATGATTTATTTCGTCATCTCCAGCCATAGTTACCCAGAAAAGAACTTTTCATTGTCAAGAGAACCCAAGTCAAATTCCCATTTGCTGACAAGAAGGACTTTCTAGTCTGAGCTACAGAGACTGGACCAAAATTTAAATGAGATCTCTGTAAGTTTTGTTTACTAGGTACAAAGTAATTCCCTTTAGGCATTTGGTTAGTGGGAAAGAGACTCTTGGTGTTCTGGAAAATAGTATCAGGTCAAGATTCTCACTAGTTTGATTCTCTAACTGTCTTAACCTGCACACTTTCTAGCCATTCTAATGACTCTAATCTGCTTGAGAGAAGCATGCTTTTGTTCCTATTAAAAATACTTTTAAAAATGGTATTGAGCCCCCCCAAAAGTCCATTTAACTGGATAGGACAAATCAAACTGTAATCCAAATACTAGTTGTGATGTTTTAGTGAGAGTAATTTGAGGAAAAACACCCTGGAGCTTTTTGTTTTGTTCCAAGTTCTAAGGCCCAACTCTTCTCTGTGCCCTTGGACAAGCCACTTAACCTCACTACATCAGAGTTTCCATTTGTGAAATGCTGATTACAATCCTCCCCAGCCATGTCTGGTGGCTAAATATGCAAAGCACCTTATGTTCCAGAAGGATTATGAGCTCATCCATGGTCTGGGTGCTAGACTTGCTGTGACGTGCAAATGATTTGCAGGCTGAGCATTCTGTCCCAAAGGTGACTGCTTCTGTCCGATGCCAAGAATGCAGCTAATCAGAGCTCTCTGTTTTAGCAAGGCTCCAAAGATCCTATGCAATTGGGTATTTTGTGGCAGAGAGAGCATTAATCTCATAAGAAAAAGTATCCCTAAAATTGGACCTCATAGCAATCCTGACTGAATTTTGCATCCAATGCAATTTCTTGAAAAAAAAAAGGGGGGAAATCTCCAAAAAGCATAGTAATTTTGCAAATGAAATCCTTTCAGTGCTGAGTAATCTAAGGCTATCATTTGCCCATTAAAAATATTTATAACATCTTTTTTGAGTTCCCTAGGTTACATTTGAGTGAAAAGCCCCCACCTATTCAGTAAACTAACAGCTTCATAAATATTTGGTAATAGGCTTATGGCAGCTTCATCTGCTGTTTTAGTGAGGCTCAATGCTGCCTTGGCCAAAAATTCATCTAAGGAAATTTTACCTGGAGTCTCCTGGAGTATTCATTCCCACATGGGGTGAACTCTTCCTCATTTTTTCCTTCGTGGTCAGCAATTCATGGTTTTGTCTTTAAACCAAGTTAGAGCCAAGCACAAGAGTTTCTCGGAGGCTTCAGACTGTAAGAAGGAATATGGGCCATCTACCTCTGTTCCAAACCACAGCTGGGATTAGAGGCCAAGGTGGTGAGGTATTTGAGTGTGTGCTAGGGCCAGGGCTTGTCCTTTCCTTTGCATCAGTTCAAAGTCACACCCATCACATTAATTGCTTTACCTCTGGGTACCACTTTTGTTAAACCACAAGCAGAAGACTACTGCAGTGTCTTCCAACTGTCCGGCCGCCCCCCTCAGGGTATTTTGGCAGTTTAGCATTTGAAATCATCAAGGAGGTTGATTGTTCTCACCCTCTTCAACCTGCCATTCTTCCTGCTTTCTATACAAGAAGTTGCTTAAGAGCTTGAAAAGCATCTTTAAAAGGAATAGGGTGAGATTCCAACAAGAAACACCGTTGCCAAACAAACGAAATAATAATCTGATTGGATAATTAGGAAGACTAACTTTTTTTCATGTATTTTAATGATGACACAGTTATTCTAAACTGAGAGTAAGGAAAAAGGGAGACTATTCCCCTGTGGCTGCACCGATGCACAAAAATCAAGGGGGTCCTGGATTTTTGAATTACAGATGGAATCTTAAGAGTATGCTGTAAAATGCTGTATGTTGTAGCCTTTGCTTTATAATGTGTATATTTTTTCTAAGAGAATGTCATTGTGGTCCATTCACATAGTGAACTTCAGATTTTAAAAATATACATATTTCAGTTCTGTTTATCTCCATATGGAATGGTAAACTTTGATGGTCTTTTCTTTCAGAACAGTTTGTGTTAGAGGGTGGGAAGGGTACGTGGGCAGTTTTCATTTGAAAGAGCCCATGGGAAGTAAGTATGATGCTAATCCTCACTTTGTGAGGTGAGGTCTGAATGGTATTTGGAAGGAGTGGGCAGTTTCAATGGCCGGTGGACAGCAGTAGCCCTCTCCCTGGCTGTGCTCCAGTGGCCAGGTGTTTCCATAGAGTCCTGCTCTCATTGTCTTCCCCCACTCTCTCTTTCTGTGTTGGGTACCTTTTTTTTGAAAAACTAACACAAGATCATTCATGCAATGTGTCATTTTACTAACCGACTAATGTACTAACACCCTAACGACTCATCTTTGTTTTTAGTTTTTTTAATTAACAATCGTTCTGTTCACAATTTTTAATTTCCTTTCTTCCCCCTTCTCCGCAAAGCACTCAGGCATCGGACACGCTATGGTAAACAAACTACATTGTCTGGTAGATATCATTCTTATTGTCTCTTTTTTTGGGTTTGCCGTGTGTTGCCCCCCTTTTCCTACCCAAATCCCCCTTTTATCCTCTTTACACTTATTTCTTCTCCTTTTCCAATTTTTTTTGTTAAATTAAATGCAAGAATTTTTTTCTTTAAAAAAATAGAAGGGTATGTACCTGTCCTGGAAATGATATTTGATCAAGTTTGATGGGGTTAGTTTTTTTCCCCTCCAGTTTTAATTTTTCCTTTAAAGTTTTTTTTAAAGAATTTCTTCCTTTAGTTTAATTTTTGTTTTGTTCTGTTTTCTTATTTTTCAACTTTGAAATTAGACTAGACTCAAAAGAGATTTCTAGTGAGCACTTTTCTTCTCTCTCTGTGTCTGCCACTCCCTTCTCTTTTCCTCCTTTCTACTCCTTAATCCCTTCTCTCTTTCCTTTTGTGTGGCCATGGCTGCCACAGGTGATCTGGGGAGGAAAGTACTCTACTTCCTGTGCTCTTCCTTTCCTTTCTTTGTCCTTATTCCCCCACCATGACCAAAGGGAGCTCCACCACCTGTGTTCTCCATACAAACTCTGCATGGCATGGTCCTGTCTTGTGGAATTCCCATTGGCATCTGAATTTGTTCCCTCATTTTCCTCCTCACTACTAACAACTTCAAAACCATCAACCCAGTTCCACTTTCTTCTATTTTTTTTCCCAATCTTCATCTCCTCTCATTCTTCATGTATTTTGGGGTTGGGTTTGGACTTTTTCTTTTCTTTTTTTTTTTTTAAGTGGGGGAGGTGGCAGGCATGGGAAAGATTATCCTTAATTTTGAGAGATTTTTTACTCCCACTTCCATCTTATGTTTTGATTTGCTCAATGCATGTATGTGTGGAGCAGATTTTGATTACTTTGTTTCTCCTCACCCTTTCCCACATCCCCACTTATTTTCTTCTACCTTCTCTCTTGGCTCTAGATAATTTTTGCATGGGTGTGTCAGTGTATGGTGTGTGCATGCTGAGGTGCCATCTTTTCCCTCTTCCCTCTGCTCCTATCATGAATGTTGGGTGTATGGGTGCTACTTCATTCCTGTGGGCATTATTATTATTTTAGTTACCATGCCTCATCATTTCTTTCTTTCTGTTAAAGTTGCCTTTTTGGTTGGGGTCATTTCTTCTGTTGGTGCTGGGGATGGCAGCCAAGGGAGGGCAGGGGTTGGTGTTGGGGGTAGTCCATGCATGTATCATTCTTAACATATCAAAATAGAGAACTTCCTTTCCTTCCCCAAATGCATGTTTCTCAGGATGGTATAAGCCAAAAAAGAAACAAATAAAAAAGAAAAGAAAAAAAGGCAAAAAAAAAAAATCAATAACCAAAGACCAACCCCTAACAAACCCCATTGTCAAATGTCTCCTTTGCTGTTTCTCATCACCACCATAAATAACAATCATATAAGAAATAAAAAGTCATTTTAGCAGTCAACTGAAACAAGTGATATCGTCTGAGGATGGTTCCATTTTCTAGCCTGACTGAGTAAAGAGTGCAATGGGTAGAACAAGATGTTCGGCGTGGCAGTTCTAATAAACATACGTACAGATCTGCAGGGGTGCTGTCGGCTTGGGGCTCAGGGAGGCAGACCAGAAAATGGAACTTGGCTGCACTTACCTAACTCAAACCAAATTAGACAGAGTGCCTCACCAAAACCTTAATGAAACTGATGTCATAAGTAGGGGAAGCCACCGAATTTTGATAGGACTCCAAGGTCATTGCTGGGATTTTTTTTTTTTTTGTCCCTATGTCCCACCACCAGGTGACAATCTCTGTGGATGGCATTCTTACCACGACGGGATACACTCAAGAGGACTACACCATGCTGGGCTCAGATGACTTCTTCTACGTGGGAGGAAGCCCAAGTACAGCTGATTTACCAGGTTCCCCTGTGAGCAACAACTTCATGGGCTGCCTGAAAGAGGTAAGGTTCACACAACCCCACTCTATGCATCTGTCCCTGGATCTATTGTATGACATGTGAAATGAGAGTAGAAAAGTCCTTGGACTTGGAATCATATGTCCTCTTTTGATCCTAGCTTAAGTTGGTTGAGTGATCTTGGTTTTGTCTCTTAAATACTACATGCCTCTGTCTCCTCATGTAACTAATGAAAAAAAATCTTAAATGTAATAGCATATATGAACACATATTAGATGCATGTGAAATTGACTTTGTGCTTTGCGCTTGGAAAATAGAGACACTCTAGCTAAAAGTGGCTCAAGTTGTGATTGTGTACCTTGTCTAAAATATAACATATGTATTATTTTACCCTTGCCGGGCTTGGCATTACCAAGAGTCTCATTATTTGAGATGAAGGAAAATTCTCAGAATATAACATTCAGGCTCAGAAGACTGGCTTTTCTTTCTTTTTTTTCTTCTTCCCTGCAAGCTAGTAGTTGTAGCTATGAGAAAGCAGTGGGGCTTTGCCATTACTCATTTATTACTATTGTAGTTGATGTGTTGAGACCTCTGTCTGAGAGCAAAGCAGCTTCAGTCAAGTGTGAGTTCAATCTCTGAGGTCAATTGTTGAGGCAAAAAGAATCAGACTTGATTTGGCAGAGTTCTTTCAGAACACTATGTCATCAAAGCAGGACACTGTACATCTTGTTTAATCTGAGCTAAGTTTGATTGCCTAAGATATCAATACCATTTCCCCAGGGAAGTTCCTTGGGAAGCTAACAGTGTTCCTTCTTATAGATAAAAAGTCCCTTGTGACATTTTATGTGTCTCCTCTCAGGGCATACGTTTTATTCTTATTATGGATACTTGAAGTGTGTTGAACAGTAGACATATATGAGGTGGTACTGACTGCACATGCATTCATTTCTGCTGCTGGTCTGAGTCACATCAAGACAGGCATTGCTTGTGTTATGCCTGACACATAGTAGTTGCACAGTGAGAATGTACTGACTGGGCCAATTTATCAAATAACTATTGGGTACCTTTTAATGTGCGTGCACACACACATGCACACACACTTGTCCACACACACACATGCTCACACACACACACACATACACATATGCACGCGTGCACACACTTTCATACTGCCCAGCTAGATAATAGAAAGATTTAAAAGTCCATCCAAGGATCACTATCAGATGACATAAAATTTAAATACAGTTCTGAAAAATAGCATCAGTATTAGAAATAAGTGATTATTAGAAATGGTGATTAAATTTGGTGGCTCTTTTCAAGCCAGACTTTATAGTCTAGGAAGAAAGATGAGATCTGTAAGTGAATAATTACAATGTAGGACACCATGAGTTCAATGCCACAAATGAAACACTCTGAGTGGAGGAAACAGATAAATTTTAGGTGGTAGTCAGTTTTAGAGAAGAGCTGACATTTGAGCTGAGCCTTGTTGCAATAAACCACGTGCAAACTGGGGGGAAGGGGTAGAAAGCAGAGATATAACAAAGGAGGGAAAAATCCAATTATAGCTTTGCATTGTTCTTAGTCAGAAGGACAAATTAAGAGGGGAATCCAAAGAGAGCTTGCCCTTCTTTGTTGGATATTACCCTGGCTTCTGCTGGCTTCAGGGATTCCTCTGTTATGTCTGAAGGAATTACGGTAGGCATTGAAAATTTCTTCCCTGGGATTTCCTCTTATTTCGATAGAATAAAGGCATAAACATCTCATTGTCTAAAGAACCTTGACAGCTCTTAAATATTGTTAAATCATGCTGCCTTGGAATTGCAGTCTCATCAGAAAAAGACTGCAGCATTCCCATTACCAAGGGGTGGCTGAGAAATGAATGAAGCATCGCTTGGGGTAAACTGATCGTCACGCTTGTAGTACAGCAGCCCTGAGGATATTATTTCCTGAGGGGTGGTGATCTAGGGTGGCCTTTAGGGATGGATTTTTCCCTACATACAGTTATACTGAAATATGTATCAATTATATATTTTGAGACATGGGAGCAATTTCTCAGCCACAAATCTTTCATCTATTAATCAGGAAGGGTGTCCCTGAATACTTTGAAAGAAGTATCAGGAAAACATGAAGATGTCTCTGATAATTTTATCCATCTGGAACCTGTACTAAGTACAGTCTAAACACACACACACACACACACACACACACACACACACAGCCCAGGTAGAGAATAGAAAGCTTCTAAAGTGTCAAAGAGTCGCAGTTAGGTGATGTAAAAGTAAAGGTGGTTCTGAAAAATAGTGGCAGTAATAGAAATAACTATACTTAGTGATAATTCCCATGTCTTAGAAGCGGAACTAATCTGCATATAAATTCCAACCAAGTTAGCAAAAGGAATGTCCAAAACATAGAGGGAAATGCTGGGAAATGAGAATTGTAATAAACTCTGCCCTCCTCTCTGCTCCGTAGACAGCACGGTGGTCTTCCTAAGGGAATGGGAGGCCTTCTCACTTGCCTGGGTGCTTGAACACACAACATTGGATATCGTGAAATACTGGAATATTTTTCCCCATTTTATCATTACAGTTTACTGACCTGTTAGCAAGGATGAAGGATTCTCTTGTTCTTGGTATCTGACAAATTAGTAGACAAGAAGGGGTCCCCCTATATTGGGATTTAACTCCTGGATACAGCCCACATGCACACTTGGACAATTTAACCTCACTCCAGTTGTTGTTCAGTGCTGCCTTTGTTCCTCATTTCCCTGACTTTTCCTATTTTCTCTTTCCTGTCATGGCTTTAAATTTTCCTAAGAAGAGCTGGGTGCTTTTAAGTGCCATTTTCATCAGAGTAGGAGCATGGTGAAAGGATGATGGGATTTCTTTCCCAGAGTGGTGGATACTCCTTTGCCTGTGGAACAAAAGCGTTTTACCTTTGGAACTGTAGTTACTTTACTCCTATAAGATATGTTCCAGCTCTTCTTTTGAGCTAAAGTAACTGTGCCTTTCACCTGTATTCGTGCCTCCTAACTTGGCGTCCCTGTAAGAACTACAACAGAGTGCAAGTTGTCACCAAATGATTGTGGTTCCATGCACTCTTTCTAAACTTAATTATCACAAAGTCAGCATCTTGTTACTCTTCCTGTTTTCCTTTTTCATCTGTTGTCCTTTTGTTCTTATGTCCCAGCCCTTTCAATGGTCCTTGGCCCCTAGATTACTCTCAATAAATATTTGATGAGTGCAATAATGTGTGTGTAAATTAATAAATATTTTTCTTAGATAACCACTCTTAGGCACTATTGATCACTTGCCTTACTGGGAATGACTAAAGAACATCTTGATATTACAATAGTGGATGGTTTCAAGAATCCCCCAGACATTTGACTTAAGGAAAATAGTACATAAAGGGCCTCAGCAAAGCTAAGAGGAATGGATTGGAGCCTCCTCTAGAAAAACAGGATGGAAAAAGGCATTAAGGGAGGCATCATAGAATAATGAAGAGAATCCTGAGTTTAAAACCAGAAAATCTGGTTAGGACTATTAGCTTTATCACTGGCTGTATGGACAGGAATAAGCTATTGATTTTTAAAAATTGAGTTTATTGGTACTTTTTAAGTATACAATGCAGTTACATTCATCATTGGGATCTTGGACCTTTACATGACAGATCTTGGTTCTCATTTTTCCCCTTGTCCCTGCCCTCCTTCATCGTCTCCACCCTCCCCTATTTATACTATTGATGTTTTTATAAATTTCATTTTTCTGCCTAGGACATGGACATCATAAGATTGCTGTTGCATTCTTTTAAGGACAAATGAAAGAATGCACATAAACCAAACAGTGTTATATAATGGTGTCTTGCTATAGTAATTGTTACAGATTATATAATATGCTTTATAAAATAATTTGTGAACATAAATGAATATATATTAGCACATGAATATCTAAATTTCTCATATTAGCAAACCATTGTCATGGGAAAAAAGCTGAGGTTTGCTGTACTAAAATTATCTCATGCTTGCTGGACTATCTAGGGCCATACACCTTTCATTCTTCTCTGTTCCTTCCACTCATCTTCACTTCTTACTTTGGGCATTATTGCTTCCATAGAGCCTTCCCTGACCCTCTGAATATAGTAGGTCATTTTCCTCAGCAGCTCTGTTGCGATGAGGTATGTTTCATTTTGTACATTAATTACTTTTTATTGGAACTTCATGCATATATCTGTCTCTTTCACTACTATTAGGTCCTTTAAAGCAAGAACTATATCTGATTCAATTTTGTATTTTGGTCCTTAGCATGCTGCAGATTTTCCAATTTTTATCATGTGAAGGCAAGGATGAGAGCACATTTTGGTATCTAGGTGAGAATTCCAGAGCACAAACTGTAAGGTAGAGGATTTTGCAGATCTACCTGCAAAGTTAGGTGGCAGCCAAGTTGTAGAGGGATGTATGGAATACTACACCATTGGGTTCTATCCTCTTGGTAATGGGGAGCCATTAAAGGATCTTAAACAGCAGATTGACATTGTCAGATCAGCCTTTTGTCCATTGGACCTTAATTCCTTGTGGACTGAAGTTGATCCATCTACTTCTTCCTCGGTTTATTTTTTTGGTCTGGGAAATTGAAGAGCAGGGATAGAAATAGTGGTCCATCAGCTTCAGCAACAGACAGGAAGCATACTGTTCTGAACCTTAAAATTTATACAGAAAAGCATTTCCTTCTGACTACAATTTCAGTGTCACCAAACCCTCCCTGTCAGGACACATATTCCTCCATCTTTGGCATTATGGAAATATTGTTTTTGGACAAAGCGCAAAATATCAGAGGAAGATGAAGGTAAGAGCTGAGTTGCATTAATAGTAACTCCATCAGACAGAATACCTGTCAGGACATGGGAGCTTCCTCAAGCCCACACAGTATCTTCTTGGTTCTTTCTGCATTTTTCTCTATTCTTTTCAATCTGCTCCCCCCCACCCCTCATGTGTTTGTCCATGAGGAGTCCATGTGTTGCCAGAGAACTCTGGGACCAATTGGCCCATCTCG